TCACCTATTTGCACACTTCAGGGACAAATAGAAAAAAGGAGAAAGCAATCCTTCTCCCAGGCTCACGCCCTGGGCCTCAGACTGTTGTTCATCTCATTGGGTACCCTTGAAACAGACGTTTATTTCCATGATCTCTGTTCTACAAAACACCAGCTTCTTACTACATCACATTTTTTGATGTAAAAGTGACATTTCCTTAAAATAGAACTCTTCCATTGCATTTAATAATGAGAGAAATAGGAATGAAAATAAACATGTGGTATTCAAGCCGAGTTCCTATTCCTGTGCCTATAATCATTCATCTTTTCAAGTATATGGTGGAGGTATAAGAATCTGGCCAGATGTGGAAAATCACCTACAAGCTAAAGCACAGACCTCTGAAATTCATCAGTACAGTTGTGAGTGGAAGTGAAAAATACAAAAGATTGAGGTATTTTATATGAAGAACTATCCTGGGATGTGCGGATATGTAGACTGGCCCATTGCTAACTCAGCCGAATAGGCTCTGGCTAGGAATGTAAGACAGATACGGAAAACACGGACGTGTGCTCGGGAAGCAGCTCGCAGCTAAGGAATGAGGGTGCGTCTTGGTCCCTGAGAAGGTGGAACACCGAGATTCACCCAAGCCTGCATGCTCGGTGAACAGTCTCCGTGGCATCGGACAGGAGACAGCGCCTTCCACCACACGAGCTATGCAGCACAGTCGGGGACAGACTAACCCTGAAGCCTTCTCTGTCCGTGTCCCGTCCCATCACAGAAACCCTAAGCCAGGTCAGGTCGGCGTCAGAGGGGAGCGACGGGCCTGACCTGAGCCCCTGGGGCGCTCTCTGCTCCCCTAGATTCACTGAGCAGTGTGGGAAAGGGAGGAACCTCCGACAGCAGCTATGCAGCAGGGCGTGGGTCTGTGCTCATGGCCTTCTTCCATGAACTGGCCATGCGTCCAAACCCTGGGGACGCGGCACCTCCGAACCTTACACAAGCCTGGGGACAGGCCTGGACGCTGACAGCGCAACGGGCTGAGCTGGCGAAGGAACGCCAGAGGCCGCTGCACACGTCAGGAGAGCTCTCTGCTAGCAGAAAACGGACACAAGGGCCAGGAACAGAGACCAGCGTGCCGCACCTGGGGTGAACTAAGGAAGTAAAAGTAAGTGTAACGAAGCGGCCTGAAAAGTAGGAATGGCGAGGACTGAAAGAACCATGCTTATTGCTGAGCAAACTGCAGCGACGTCCATCTCACTGACACCCTACTGCGAAAGCCCTGGGACGGCGGGCTGAACAACACGCAAGGTCACCAGAGTCCAGTCCTCCTCCAAGTCCCAGCACGGGCAGTGCCTTGGCCCATGGGTGGCTGGGACAGACTGTCCACCTGCCCAGAACCTTCTCCACAGAGAAGGTGGCCTTGCAGACCAGCAGAGCACTCCAAGGTGGTCACGCAGTGCTGGTTTGGTTTAGAACCCTTGATTGGCCCTACACTCCATCAACAAGCGAACAGGAACAAATCCTTACAGGTTTTTTTTTTTTAATTGTCAGAGGGCTCATGGCCTTCTTCCATGAACTGGCCATGCGTCCAAACCCTGGGGACGCGGCACCTCCGAACCTTACACAAGCCTGGGGACAGGCCTGGACGCTGACAGCGCAACGGGCTGAGCTGGCGAAGGAACGCCAGAGGCCGCTGCACACGTCAGGAGAGCTCTCTGCTAGCAGAAAACGGACACAAGGGCCAGGAACAGAGACCAGCGTGCCGCACCTGGGGTGAACTAAGGAAGTAAAAGTAAGTGTAACGAAGCGGCCTGAAAAGTAGGAATGGCGAGGACTGAAAGAACCATGCTTATTGCTGAGCAAACTGCAGCGACGTCCATCTCACTGACACCCTACTGCGAAAGCCCTGGGACGGCGGGCTGAACAACACGCAAGGTCACCAGAGTCCAGTCCTCCTCCAAGTCCCAGCACGGGCAGTGCCTTGGCCCATGGGTGGCTGGGACAGACTGTCCACCTGCCCAGAACCTTCTCCACAGAGAAGGTGGCCTTGCAGACCAGCAGAGCACTCCAAGGTGGTCACGCAGTGCTGGTTTGGTTTAGAACCCTTGATTGGCCCTACACTCCATCAACAAGCGAACAGGAACAAATCCTTACAGGTTTTTTTTTTTTAATTGTCAGAGGGCATGTGCGCTTGCCAGAGAGAGAGAGAGATGAATAGGGAGAGGGAGAAAGAGAAAGCATGTCCCAATAGGACATAGTGACACTGTGGTCCCTTCTCCCTCTGTCCACCTCACTGAGATCTGGGGCGCACACATGCGTACCCACATACTTCCCTCGCTCCCTGGCTACCAGGCCGAGGTGTGGACTGCAGCAGGCCACATGGGATCTGGCTGCCTTTGCCACCAAGCTAAGGGGTCAGCCCCATCTTTTCAGATCCAGACTCAATGAGGAAGCAAGGGGCAGTGTCCAAGCAGGGCTGGCGAGAGGTGGCCTCCGAAAGCGTCTCCGAGAGCAGATCTGCGTGTCGTAATCGAGGGCCTTTTCGCGGGAGCCTGCCAGCCAGCACGCAGCAGGCCTCTTTCACTTAGTTGCATCAGAGACAAATGCCCAAATACAGTACCGTAACAAAAATGCTACACACGTACTTTCAGAGACCATTAAGAGCCCCATCCCCGGTCCAGGCCCTCCCTCAAAGTTGTCACTGGGCTGTTACTCTTCGTATCTGCGAGTCACGACAGCACGAACCTGGACAGGTACGTACTACTGAGTCAGACAGCAGACGCTCTGTTAGACTGGAAAGCCGACTGTCAGGCAGCAGGCTGTATCTTCCGAGGGTCACACACTTGCAAACGACAATAGGAAAAGAGCTGTGTGTCCTGCCAAGGGAAATCAGCCACGAAGTTGGAAATCTGGAAGATCTGGTTCCAGGACAAGTTACCTTCATGAGGAGAAGCGCTATTTGTACTTCGAGATTTTCTGTTACTTTGAAACAACCGCCACCAACAACTCATAGGAAGATCATCCGTGAGCTGTCACCTCTGTGAGCCTAGGTGTGACGTGCATTAGGGCGTAGTAAAGGTGCCCCAGCAGCTACGTCAGCTACCGCGTCCGAAGCTGTAGCAAAATAAACACGATCATTTGCGCATGAGCCGTGAGCTTTGTCATCACACTCACAAGGCCACGGGTGTCTTCGAGTATCCCCAAGTCCTCACCTGGGCAACTGCGGGTATGCCTGCAATACTGATGTGCTACGTTACATTTTCAGAGTTCAGTTCAGTGAATTAAGGCCCACGCTCCTTTTATGCTGTGATCAAAAACCAGCCTTCAAGAGCTGATGAAGAGTAGTAGACTTCGTAAGCGTTTATTAACTATCACTAGCATAAGCTTTCTCTAACGTTAATACTTTTGTTGCTGCTCTTAGATAGCAAAAATCACTAACAACCCATCACCGGTATGTGTAAGCCCAGAAGGTACTCTTTGCTCTCTATTAAATTAACCTCATTTTATTTAGCGTCTTTGACACTTCAGGGAACTATCCCTTTGGGTCTTGGCTTTAGAAACGTTCGTTTTGCCTTCAAATACACATTTCTGAGAATGACGAAAGTGGAAGCTCTTCCTCCTTTAACCTGCTTTACGCAATCCTGTCTTCCAAGTCGGCATGGCTCCCTGGGTCAGACACCGCACGTGCAGCACGTACTGCAGTGGTACACAAGGGAGGTTGTTGTAGGAGGGGAGAGCTGTGATCCCAACCCTGGCAGAAGTAATGGCTATTTTGCATTGAGGAGCTATACTGCGAGATCGGGCAAGGGACTTTAAGATGCACTGCCGTTTCCATTGATGAGGAGATGGTCACAGTCACTGTTTTATTTCTGCTAGAAATTCTTTCGGCAGCAGTGTACTCCATTTGGGAGAACCTAGGCCTCACGATGTCCTTGCGCTGGTTCCCGTACCTTGGAGCACGTGCTACGTGTGCTACGGAACAGTTGCTGTCTCCTTTGACAGCCCTGTGATCCCGCTCGGTCGTTTACCCCTTCTGACTGACACAGGGGCTTGCTGAAAGAGAAGGTGGACAGATCTGCTACGGTCCCAGCTACCGTGGGCTGGATGAGGAGTACCTCATGCTGCTTACACCGGCTGTCTTCGATTGGACACGTACCACCCACCGCGTGGGTCAGCTGGCCCTGATGTGGCTTCAGCCTGGACTGCCTTCCAGTGAGTGCACTCTTACTTCTGAGGCTCACACATTGCTCATCTGAAATGTAATCCAGGAAGCTGCGCTAGACTAGTCTATGAGAACAGACACACAGTAATAGTCAAATTAAGTAAAGAATTCAGGTGACAAAGGCACTGAAACCAGTTTGCGCTGAGAAGTCCCCTGCCGGTGGAACACTGCCTCGCATCGTCAGCTCTCCTCTCTCCATCTGCCATAGAGGCCTTGGGGTGGGTGGGTGGGTGAGTGGGAATGTTACCGC